AGCATTATCCCCAATGTTAACAATGACACATTAAAAAAGAGGCTGAGCTGTTCCACCCCCACTTATCAAGTGTTAATGACGTTGAGGAATTTCCTCCGCCAAAGGTGGGGGACTTTAACACACCTACACTCAGTTAATGTTTAAACTTCTGATGTACTAGGTCATTTCCAATGTCTTTTCTCCCCTGCAGAAATAGCGTATTTTGCTTTGCAGCATTCAGCATTTGACCGGCATAGATGGGTCACAGGATCAGGAGCAAGCCAGACACCCGTGACCTTGAATTGAAGTAAGAACAAGAGCACTTAGGCAGAGGCTTCAACCCTGAGGAACCAGCTGCCTGGTGCATGCACACCACCCCATAGGCAACGGTTCTCAACGTGTGGGTTGTGACCCCTTTGGGGGTTGAATGATGTTTTCACAGGGGTGGCCCGATTCCTAACAGTAGCAAAATGACAGTGATGAAGTAGCAACGAAAATAATTTTATGGCTGGGGGGGTCACCTCATCATGGGGAGCTGTATTAAAGGGTCTGGGCATTGGGAAGGTTGAGAACCACTGCCCTAAGGGATGATGATACACAACCCAGAAGCCTTTGCGGCAGTCCCGCTTTGAACACCTGTGGTGTGTGCACCCAATTACCATACTTGCACCCATGTGGGCCCAGTTCCTGGAATTCTCTACCTCTTTTCATGAATAAACATAATGTCCTTCCCGCCTAAACTCCTTTAAAGCCTTCCCCTTCCAGTCACGCAAAGCAGCGTGGTCTGCGTGGCCTCAAGGGCCCTCCACGCATCCCTTTGTAATATATTTCTCCATCCAAGAAATCCTCTGGCTTGTGTGGTAAGCCTGGCTCCTTGCTTTTTTATTCTTACGAGGCAGGTAAAAGAACCTTAGATTGGAAGCATGTTTCCGTAACATCAGGCTACAAGTCAGGGTCACCAACTATGAGAGATACAGCCGTTGGCCCACAAGAGCTTGTCTCCTCAGCCAGCAGCCGTCTCTCTCTAGGCCGCAGCTTCTCAATCATGTGGTCTCTGGGCCTCTGCCTCTGTGGGCCAGGAAGCCGGCCTGCAGCTCTGTCTAACAGCCTCCTAGTTATCGGTGGGGGTACTGTTTCTCTACTGTCTCATGATCTCCTTGCCTCAGCCCCTGGTCTCCATCTGAGAGCTTATGCTGCCTTTGTTGTTCCAAGCAGGGATTTTGCATGTGCTCTGCTAGTGGCTCTCCTTTGATGGTCCTGAGAGTTCTCTCTTCCTGCTTCTGAGTCAGGAGGCCAGGCAGTGCTGCGGTTCCGAGTTGAGCTGCTAACCTCAAGAAGAGCATTTCAAAACCACCAGCTGCTTCCTGGGAGAAGGACAAGGCCTTCTACGCTGGTTAGAGTTAGTCTGGGAAACTCTGCAGGGCAGTTCTACCCTGTCCTATAGGGTCTCTATGAGTCAGAATTGACTCGATGCCAGTATGCAGCAGCAGCAGCCAATCATTTAGCCGGAGTTTCAAAACTAGAGATAAAGCAGCTATTCCAAATTCACATCACCACAATGACAGAAGCAAGCTGCTGTCTCCAACTATAATTGTGGCTTTGTTTATTTCTTGCTTCAGGTCTCGGGTTTTGCTTCATGTTATTTTGAATTTCTGTTGTTGGGGAACTATTCATTTAGAACCATGTCTTCTTGGTGAATTGACATCTTTGACATTATATAGTGTTCTCTTTTAGTGTAGCCACATCCTTGTTTTGAAGTCTCATGAGGTCCATCTCCCGGGACTGGTCTCTCCTGACAACAAGCCCAAGGTATGTAAGACAGTCTCACCATCCTTGTCTCTAAGGAGCACTCTGGCCTACTTCTTCCAAGACAGATGTGTTTGTCTTTTCGGCAGTGCATGGTATTCTTCTCCAGCACCACAATTCCCATGCATCCCTTCTCTCCTCATTCAGTATCCCACTTTCCATGTATATACGGTGAATGAAAATACCAAGGCTTGCGTCAGGTACACCTCAGTCCTCCAAGCAACCTCCCTGCTTTTCAATACTTTTGAAGAGGTTTTGTGCAGTCTTGTGCCGCTGTACATTTTACTTTTACATATGCGACAAATCAACAATGCATTGCTGTTGTTTTTATTGTAAGCCGTTTGTTTTAGAGTAGTTATGTATTAGAGCTTAAATGCTGAGCGCTAGGTTTGCAGAAGGCTAGTTTATAGTCAATGCCCTAAATCCATTTTTTGTGTCCACAGAGATTTACCTCCATCGAATTCTTTCCTACCATTAGCCAGCTTGGCAAACAGCTTTGCCTTCACCCAGAGCCTGTTTGAAAGTGGATTACTACCACTCCCCCTGCCAGTCCAGGGAGGAGTAGCTTACCCCTTAGGGCAGTGGTTCTCAACCTTCCCAATGCCCAGACCCTTTCATACAGTTCCGCATGTGGTGGTGACCCCCACCCCCAACCATAAAATTATTTTCGTTGCTACTTCATCACTGTAATTTTGCTACTGTAATGAATTGAGTGATGCCAGTGAAAGGGTCCTTCAACCCCCAAAGGGATCTTGACCCACAGGTTGAGAACCGCTGCCTTAGGGGCTTTTGTGGGTGTCCCCTCGATGGAATTTGGGGTACTAGGGTAGCATGGCCATGAGTCATACCTGACTGCCTTGGTCGGGGGTCCCGTGAACCAATCTTGCAAGCTCTTCTATCTAGAATAGGGTACATGTCCCTACCCCACTTCTGTAATCCCACTTGCCACTGTCATGTATTGATCTGCTGTGGGGACAGTTTCCGCTGTACTCCCATGTCCTGCTTAAATGGCTGTGTTTCTGTCAATCCTTGGACACCGATATCATCTTGTGCTGATGGCCTTCCTCCTCCGGGTGATATGTCTCTGTCTTGCCTTTGTCCTGTGGAAGACTTAATAAATTTTCCTTTAGGTAATCTCTTTAGTACTGAAGTTGAGGGCTTTTTTCCCCCTCATCTAGAACATGAGATATATTGTCTACCCTTTCCACACACAGTGCTCGGGACACACATGGATTTGCAGACCCTCTGGGCTGCTAACTGCAGGGTCAGTAGTTTAAAACCACCAGCCGCTCTGCGGGAGAAACATGGGGCTTTCCACTCCCTTCAAGAGTGACAGTCTTGGAAACTCACAAGGGCAGTTCTAACCTGTCTTACAGGGTCTGTGGACTTGCTGGCAGTGAGTGTGGGTTTTTTTTGGTTTGTCTGGTTTTCCCCAACAATGAAGGTACCCTGGTGGCATAATGGGCTAGGCTCTGAGCTGCTAACCACCAAATCAGCAGTTCAAACTCATTAGCTGCTCCTTGAGGAAGCAATGAGGCTATCTGCTCCTGTAAAGATTTAACATCTCGGAAACTTAAGGGGGTGGTTCCACTCTGCTCTATACAATTATGAAGAGTTGGACATGACTCCATGACCTTGACTTGTCTGTCCACAGCCTGTACCTTGGTGCACCATCAAAATTTAACCACAGTTGACCCAGGAGCCGACTAGCCTCATTTGTTTTCACCCAGATGATGAGAAATGATGCTCACACCGAGTCTGGGTCCCTTATCACTCTGTCTCTCACACTCACACCAAAAAAAACACCAAACTTAGCGCCATTGACTCACAGCAACCCTCTAAGATAGGGTAGAAGGGCCGCAGTGGGTTTCTAAGTCCATACTTCTTTATGGGGCTGGAGAAAGCCTGGTCTTTGCCCCGAGGAGCAGCGGGTGGTTTCAAACTAGTGACTTTACGGTTAGCAACCCAGCTTGTAATCACGATGCCACCAGGGCTCCTCTCTCTAAAATCACTCCTACAGACAGTCTCCACAAACTCCTGCGAGGCACACTGTCAGGGCCTGTCTTGAAGAACAAGGGTTCAACTCTACCGAGAAGGCCCCACACAGCTTTCCGGCAGATTTTTTTCATCCTATTTTCCATATCACTGCAGGAGATAGTAGAGGGATTTCTCAGGCTACTAACATTTCCTTAGGAGGAAAAACAAACAAATAAACAAACACACCATGAAATGGTCAAATGCATTTTCAGGGGACAGCACACACACACACCCCTTCCGATCTAATGAAGTTCCATTCCAAAGAAAATTTTACAAATGAGATTTAAAACCTCTTCCACCATTGATCACAAACGGGGCAAAATACATCAAAATCTTAAGTACTGTGGAAAGAGGATTTTTCTTCTTCTTCTTTATTCTTCTGAATTTAAAACAAAAACAGAAACTCTGTGGAAAGTATACATTCATTCTTTTAAAAGCTTAACCTGAAAAAAATGAACATACTGCATTTCCTTCTATCAAATAGCAAAAAGGATACAATCTTTCCCTCTGTCATTTTATTTGGGTTATCAGGAAAGCGAAGCTCTACTTCCGCTCCCAGGCACAGCAGACAGCTGCCGCCACTGTTACATCTGCTACCTCGTCTTCGTGTTGTTCTTGTTTTACGACCTAGTCTTTTTCCTGATGTTGCTTTTCTGGTTCAAGATTTCCTAGGCAACTTGTTTTCTTTGGCAGATACCTTTAGTTGGAAGAGAGCCCTGGGGGTGTGACTGGTTACATTTCGGCTGCTAACCACGGGTCAGCAGTTCGAAACTACCAGCCGCTCTGAGGGAGAAAGACAAGGCTTTCTACTCCTGTGAAGAGTTACAGTCCCGGACACTGGTCCTCCATAGGGTGGCTATAAGTTGGGCTGGAGTTGGCAGCAGTGAGTTTGAAGTTGGTTATAAACCAACAAGGAAATGCCTCTTAGAAACGAGATACAATGTAGACGAAGGGATTTACATATTAGCATTG